TAAACCCTCCTCGTAATCGTTGATTCGCCAACTGTCAAGCGTCCAGCGTTCTTTCAGCCAATCAAAAAGACTAACTGGACGAACGTCGCGGTGCGTCATTAATATTCATTAGCCAAGCCTTCCTCATAGTAGAGCTCGTAACTTCTCTCATACTCACTTCGAAAGTGACTCTACCGAGCGGTTCGTTATCCGCCGCGATGTCGAAGAACACCACCGGGTTGTTGTTGGCTTGAGCTCCGGTGGCGTACATGCGCGCGGCGGTGAACGCCAGCGAACACAACTTAAACCTGTTACTGATGATTAACATGCTGATTCCGGTTAACGACTCCGCTGAGTTACTGACGCACAGGAAGTGCTGAAGCGTCACACGGAAGCGTTTAAGAGCGCGAGCGCGTGTGTCAGTCACATGTTGATTCGTAAACATAAATAATAAATAAATACATGTTAATAAATAGATTAAAATAATAGAATTAAAAAATATATATATTTTTAGAATAAATAGATTATAAACATATAAACACACATAAAACAAAAGTACAATAATTTTTTTTGATAATTCAATAAAATTATTCAATTTTATTAAAATGTGTAAAATATAAAATATAATTAATATATGAAAAATAAAGTAAAAAATATGTCTTAAATTGTAGCTATTTATATAAATATTAAAAAAACAAATAAAAAATCTAGAAATTTATATAAGTTTATGACTACTGGAATCAAATAAACCCTCAGACATGAATTATTAAATTAAAAATACACATAAATTATATGTTTATGTAACCTAATATTATTACTGTTAGTAACCTGATTTTAAAAATAAAAGTACAATGTTAAATATAAAAATATCATAAATATATAAACATAAATAATAAATAAATACATGTTAATTCATATAAAACAATTATAAACATATAAGACATACATTATTTAACATATATAAAACATATAAAAGCATAAAAACAAAAGTATTTTGACTTAAAAATGATTCAATTTAATTAAAATAAAAAATACTTCATAAAATGTAGCTATTTAAATAAATATAAAAAACATAAATAAAAAAATATAGATATTTATATGAGTTTATGACTAAAAAATCAAATAAACCCTCAGACGCATGAATTATTAGCTAAATAAAAACACATAAATTATATGTTTATATAACCTAATATTAGGCCTACTATTAGTAACCTGATTTTAAAAATAAAAGTACAATGTTAAATATAAAAATATACTAAAATAATCAAAATATAATAAATATATAAAATGTGTTTTTTTATTTATTTGAGCTTTATCATCAGCCAAGTTTATGTTGTCATTAATGCACAATGATATATAGAGACATTATATAAGTTATAAGATTAATCTCTTTTTTAAAACAGACTTCAGTCATGGCAAAAATGAAATTTGAACTGAACGTTAGTAAATGATTATCCACCGAAAGCAGTTCATGAACTCATGGAATCAATAATTCAGCTTAATAACAATAAATATCGGAGTTTATTGAGGTTTGGTCTGTTGAGGACGTTTGTATGAGCTGCTGATCAATTCATGAAACCACATACAGATCTGCAGGAATCAGCAAAGAATCACAATCAGATGCTTTATTTCTGCTTCACACCGTGTGAAAATGACAGCCGTGATCTCCAGAGATAAACATAAACATGGCGACACACAGAAAAATCATTTATTGTGTGAGTGAGATGATTCTTAGAGCTGTCAGGACATCAGATGTGGAGATGCAGCCTCAATGATTTCACAGATAAAAGTCTTTTAGAATCAGATATTAAAATCATCCGTCTCTTTTATAAAAAAGGGAAGACTCAAAAATTCTTTGCATGTGTATAATTTTTTGCCACGCGATGTAATCATCAGAACAAGCGTTAAAGCATAAGAACAATAAAAAATAATTTACCAAAACAAAACAGAGCAAAAAATAATATTAAAAGCCCTTTCTACAAATAAACAAGCCTGTATAGATTTATTTCACATAAGGCTGTCATATTTACTTGTACATATTAACAATATTTCTCATATTAACATGAAAGTCTGTATACCAATAAAATATCCTTAACTGAGCCTCCGACAGTTTTACATATTATTGGTTTCTTAAACGGAAGTGTATTTTTTTTAGCATTTTATGTATCACTCCGTCTGGATGTGAAACGCATGATGAGTAACACAGGCTGCGCTCACAATTACATACCATTTATATATATATATGTGTGTGTGTGAGTGTGTGTGTGTGTGTGTGTGTGAGTGTGTGTGTGTGTGTGTGTGTGAGTGTGTGTGTGTGTGTGTGTGTG